GGGTTCAAGCCCTGGGTCTGTGTGTCTCTCTCAGTGGGTTCATAATGGCCGTGTCAGAGACACTGAGACCCTGGGTTCAAGCCCTGGGTCTGGGTGTCTCTCTCAGGGGGATCACAATGGCCGTGTTAGAGACACTGAGACCCTGGGTTCAAGCCCTGGGTCTGTGTGTCTCTCTCAGTGGGTTCATAATGGCCGTGTCAGAGACACTGAGACCCTGGGTTCAAGCCCCGGGTCTCGGTGTCTCTCTCAGGGGGTTCATAATGGCCGTGTCAGAGACACTGAGACCCTGGGTTCAAGCCCTGGGTCTGTGTGTCTCTCTCAGTGGGTTCATAATGGTCGTGTCAGAGACACAGAGACCCTGGGTTCAAGCCCTGGGTCTGGGTGTCTCTCTCAGGGGGTTCATAATGGCCGTGTCAGAGACACTGAGACCCTGAGTTCAAGCCCTGGGTCTGGGTGTCTCACTCAGTGGGTTCATAATGGCCGTGTCAGAGACACTGAGACCCTGGGTTCAAGCCCTGGGTCTGGGTGTCTCTCTCAGGGGGATCATAATGACCGTGTCAGAGACACTGAGACCCTGGGTTCAAGCCCTGGGTCTGGGTGACTCTCTCAGGAGGTTCATAATGGCCGTGTCAGAGACACTGGGTTCAACCCCTGGGTCTGGGTGTCTCTCTCAGGAGGTTCATAATGACCGTGTCAGAGACACTGAGACCCTGGGTTTCAACCCCTGGGTCTGGGTGTCTCTCTCAGGGGGTTCATAATGGTCGTGTCAGAGACACTGAGACCCTGGGTTCAAGCCCTGGGTCTGGGTGTCTCTCTCAGGGGGTTCATAATGGCCGTGTCAGAGACACTGAGACCCTGGGTTCAAGCCCTGGGTCTGGGTCTCTCTCTCAGGGGGATCACAATGACCGTGTCAGAGACACTGAGACCCTGGGTTCAAGCCCTGGGTCTAGGTGTCTCTCTCAGTGGGTTCATAATGGCCGTGTCAGAGACACTGAGACCCTGGGTTCAAGCCCTGGGTCTGGGTGTCTCTCTCAGTGGGTTCATAATGGCCGTGTCAGAGACACTGGGTTCAAGCCCTGGGTCGGGGTGTCTCTCTCAGTGGGTTCATAATGGCCGTGTCAGAGACACTGAGACCCTGGGTTCAAGCCCTGGGTCTGGGTGTCTCTCTCTCTCTCAGTGGGTTCATAATGGCCGTGTCAGAGACACTGAGACCCTGGGTTCAAGCCCTGGGTCTGGGTGTCTCTCTCAGGGGGATCACAATGGCCGTGTTAGAGACACTGAGACCCTGGGTTCAAGCCCTGGGTCTGTGTGTCTCTCTCAGTGGGTTCATAATGGCCGTGTCAGAGACACTGAGACCCTGGGTTCAAGCCCTGGGTCTGGGTGTCTCTCTCAGGGGGATCACAATGGCCGTGTTAGAGACACTGAGACCCTGGGTTCAAGCCCTGGGTCTGTGTGTCTCTCTCAGTGGGTTCATAATGGCCGTGTCAGAGACACTGAGACCCTGGGTTCAAGCCCCGGGTCTCGGTGTCTCTCTCAGGGGGTTCATAATGGCCGTGTCAGAGACACTGAGACCCTGGGTTCAAGCCCTGGGTCTGTGTGTCTCTCTCAGTGGGTTCATAATGGCCGTGTCAGAGACACTGAGACCCTGTGTTGAGTGTGTAAGTGGGTGAGTGTGTGGGTGGGTGAGTGTGTGGGTGAGTGTGTGGGTGAGTGTGTGGGTGGGTGAGTGTGTGGGTGGGTAAGTGTGTGGGTGAGTGTGCAAGTGAGTGTGTGGGTGGGTGAGTGTGCAAGTGAGTGTGTGGGTGAGTGTGTAAGTGCGTGGGTATGTGAGTGAGTGAGTGTGTGAGTAAGTGTGTGGGTGAGTGTGTGAGTGTGTGGGTGAATGAGTGTGTGGGTGAGTGTGTGTGGGTGAGTGTGTGAGTGTGTGGGTGAGTGTGTAAGTGGGTGAGTGTGTAAGTGTGGGTGGATGAGTGTGTGGGTGAGTGTGTGTGTGGGTGAGTGTGTGAGTGTGTGGGTGGGTGAGTGTGTGGGTGAGTGTGTGTTTGGGTGAGTGTGTAAGTGTGTGGGTGAGTGTGTAAGTGAGTGTGTGGGTGTGTGAGTGAGTGTGTGGGTGAGTGTGTAAGTGAGTGGGTGAGTGAGTGTGTGGGTGAGTGAGTGGGTGAGTGTGTGGGTGAGTGAGTGTGGGGGTGAGTGTGTGTGTGGGTGAGTGAGTGTGAGAAGAGATGGAGTGATGTGGTACAGGAGGACGTGGAGCTGAGTGGACTTGCCGATGACTGGTACCAGATCGGCCTCTGTGGAGGAGGCTCGTGAAGGACGCTACTGGGCAGTTGGAGGCAGTCGCCCTCCAACAACAACGAAGGGCGGAGGAGCGACGCCCACAACAACGAGCGGAGCGCCGGGTGGCTAATGCACAGCAGGTTGGCACAGTAGGGGGCACAGGTGGTGCATCAGCCAGTCATCTCAGTCAGTCGACCCGTGGAACCTGGGTCTGCCCCGTGACCTCCTGCCAGCGGGCGTTCGACACTTCACGTGGCCTCAGGGTGCACATAGCCTGGCACAAGCGTCGTGGTGACGTCACCGCTACTTAGTGGCGAATGGCGGTTGTTGAAGTGTGTGTGTGGGTGAGTGTGTGAGTGTGTGTAAGTGAGTGTGTGGGTGAGTGTGTGAGTGTGTGGGTGTGTAAGTGAGTGTGTGTGTGGGTGAGTGAGTGTGTGTGTAAGTGAGTGTGTGGGTGAGTGTGTGGGTGTGTAAGTGAGTGTGAGTGTGGGTGAGTGTGAGAGTGTGTAAGTGGGTGTGTAAGTGAGTGTGAGTGTGTGGGGAGCGATAGTGTAGCTGTTAGCGCGCTGCGCTATGAACCTGGCGACCCGGGTTCGATTCCCGCTCACGGCCAACAGCAGTGACGATTATCTGAACCGGTCCCGGGCCTCCCCTAGGTCGACTCAGCCTCAAATGAGTACCTGGTGCGGTGTGTAAACATTTCCACTAGGGAGACGAAGGCGGTCGGGCGTGGTGCTGGCCACCCACCCCCTCGTGTACCGTTCCGGCCTTCATAGGTGCTCGCTAACAGCACTTGCCCCTACAGTCTGTTAAGGCTAAATGGGGGATCTTTGCTTTGTTTGTGTGTGTGTGTGTGGGTCGGGTGAGTTGCCAACCGTCCCGGATTGTCCGAGACTCCACTGCAGCAATCGGCACAAGACTACAGAATGAATCCGATGAGCCATGAAGCACTTTTCCCACAGCTGCCCAATTAAAAAAAATCGATTTCCCTGCGACTATTGGAACGCAATTGAATAATGGGAGATACTTTAAGATCATTAATATTTATAGATTTTTTTTTACAAATCTCTTGGCTTTAGCCAGAGTTTGCAGCGAAGAGGGGGGGAGACGTCACGATTCGCCCTGGTCGATGACGTCGCTCAGGTTTTTGTGTCGAGTAGCGTCCTGACGTCATCGACCACCTCCTTCTCGTGTGACGTCACCGACGTCCCATCAACTTGACGCCACTTCCCCCCGCCCGATGACGTCATACGATGATGACATCACACACATAAACACGCCCACGTGTGACATCATTACCGGTGTTAACAGCGGCCTGAGTGACGCAATCAAACAGGGCTAGCCGATGACGTCACTCAGACATAAACATTTTTTTTACTATTATTTACAACGCAATAATACTGTTTGAGTCTTTCGGTAAAGCCACGTAGATCGATTTTTTTTTATTAATTGATCTATCTACGTGGCTTTAGCGAAAGACCCACAGAGTGTGAATTCCTGCAGTCACGAAAGCTTTAAGTCGACATTTAACAACGCAATTGTCTGTTACCCGCGTATGACGTCATTACCACACTCACCCCGAACCTGAACCGATTTGACTGGAAAAAATTTTATGATTTAAAGCTTTCGTGACTGCAGGGATTAATATGTTTAACACGTAGGCTTTCGCGACCAATATTATTCATAATAAAGGTTTTTGGGTTAGATCGCGTTTATTTATAAATGTGTCGTAACCCTCCACCACCCGACACGGCCAATCAGCAAAGAAAAGTGTCACGTTGACAAAAGACAAATAATTCACTACTTCAGCCCACCGGTGTGTTGAACCGGTGGGCTGAAGTAGTGAATTATTTGTCTTTTGAACCGGTGGGCTGAAGTAGTGAATTATTTGTCTTTTGTCAACGTGACACTTTTCTTTGCTGATTGGCCGTGTCGGGTGGTGGAGGGTTACGACACATTTATAAATAAACGCGATCTAACCCAAAAACCTTTATTATGAAGGGATTAATATTCTTGGTTCTTTCGGTAAAGTCGCCACCACTTAGAAGGGAAACAATAAAATTATAAAACAATAAAATTATCACGACGTTGTGGTTTTCACACCTGATTATGATTGCTTCTCGTGTTGCAGTCGAAACGTCGTGAGAATTTTATTGTTTTATATTTTTATTATTTTACTGTTTCCCTTCTACGTGGTGACTTTACCGAAAGAACCAAGAATATGATTTGACTGAGTTCAGGCGTCCGAGTGACGCCACGTCCGTTACCGGTTCCTGCCGACGTCACTGGCGAACACCCGGTTGTTTAATGACGTCACTGAGAAAAAACAGGTTACCGACGTCATCTAGACCCTTAAAGTCTCCTCTGACGTGATGTCATCCGGATGGCGCGGATCTGACGTCACGCGGGTCCAGGGTCTCCTATGTTGACGTCACCGGTGTGTGAACAAAAAAGCCGTCGGAAATGTCAATGGGATTTTTTTTAAATAACGGTGGTAAATGACGTCACCTGAGACAACTCAACTTTTACCGTAACGTCATGTCCTTCCGAGCGGCGCACGCGCGTTGTGGGGGTGGTGGTGACGTCACGCGGCTCCGAGGAGGAGGAGGGGGGGGGGCTCCTTTGCGACGTCACTGGTAAGAAAAAGAACCTTGGTTAATGACGTCAACCACATCTACGCCGTCTATCGTGACGTCATGTCGTCTGTACGTGGGCGGGGCGGGGGTTGTTGGCGTGACGTCACGTGGGCCCGAGTAGGGGGGCGGGGCTCTGCTAGAAGAAAGATGGCGGCGAGCGGCAAAAGGTTCCCCGAATTTTTTTATTTCTCATTTCGCTTAAAGAGTCTCAAAGAGTCTCAACTTTTTCTCTCTTTCTCTCGCTTTTTTTCTCGTTCTCTCGCTTTACCTCTCTCTGTTTTTATTTTAGATTTTTTTTGTGTGTTTTATCCCAACGCGAAGGTTGTGTGTGGTTTTCTTTTTGTCCTTCCAGTCGTTACCTCGGCGTTTAACCGCTCCCCGTAGCGTCCGTATTGTTGAACACGCAGGGTTATTATGGATGCTTTAGTATCGTTACGATGTTGACGACGACGATGATGGTGGTGATGATTGTCGTGTGAGCGACGGTTCACGATGGATCCGTTTGCCAACCCTTACCGCGTGGGAAATCATCTCTCTCGGTGATTTATCCCAATAATCACAATTTCCTATAGATCAATATCTCTCCTCAAATTAAATATTATCACAGGTCTCACCCTACCACCCTCCCCCACCTCCTGGGTGATCGCTTTCAAATCGGAGATGGTTACCAAAATACCGCTCGGATTCTCGGTTCTTTCGGTAAAGTCACCACCACGTATAGAAGGGGAAACAATAAAATAATTTTAAAAATATATATAAAACAATAAAAAAATCTCACGACGTTTCGACTGCAGCAACACGAAGCAGCAATCATCATCGTCATCATCAGGTGTGAAAAACCACAGCAAGAACATTTGAAGAGAGTGGCGTTTAATTTTTTCAAATGTTGTTGCTGTGGGTTTTTCACACCTGACGATGATGATTGCTGCTTTGTGTTGCAGTAGAAACGCCGTGTAGAATTTTTTTTATTGTTTTATATTTTTTTTAAATTATTTTATTGTTTCCCCTTCTATACGTGGTGGTGACTTTACCGAAAGAACCAAGAATATTAATCCCTGCAAGCTTTAAATCAAAATTTAAAATACCGCTCGTTCTTCAACGCCTCGCTGAACTGTAATGACGACAGTGGCCGTTAGGTCCGTTGGCCGAAACGTCGCCTCGTGTCCCCGCACGGTTTGAACAACAACAACGTCGATCATCATGATAAGATAGCAGCAGCAGCCACTGGGTTGAGCTGCCATCAGTTGTGACAAGCCAGGTGTGAGCTTGTGTACAAGAGGCTTAGTGGGGCCTTAATGTCTCGTAGCAATACAACATTGTTGAGTTCTAGTATGGGTCTTGATGGGTCTTTGTGGGTCTCTACGAGTCTCTGTGGGTCTCTGAGTCTCTGTGGGTCTCTACGAGTCTATGTGAGTCTATGAGTCTCTTGATTCTCTAAGGGTCTCTATGAGTCTCAGGATCTCTATCGGTCTATGTGAGTCTCTGTAGGTTTATGGGTCTATATGTTTCTGTGAGTCTCTGGATCTCTGTGGGGTCTCTGCGAGTCTCTGTGGGTCTATGAGTCTCTGGGTTTACGTGAGTCTCTGTGGGTCTATGTGAGTCTCTGTGGGTCTCTATGGGTCTATGAGTCTCTGGGTTTATGTGAGTCTCTATGGGTCTCTGTGAGTCTCATATGAGTCTCTGGATCTCTGAGGCTGTGTGGGTCTCTATGAGTCTCTGGATCTCTGTGGGTCTCTATGGGTCTCTGTGAGTCTCATATGAGTCTCTGTGAGGCTCTGTGGGTCTCTATGGGTCTCTGTGAGTCTCATGAGTCTCTGTGGGTCTCTGTGAGTCTCATATGAGTCTCTGGATCTCTGTGAGGCTCTGTGGGTCTCTGTGAGTCTCTGGATCTATGTGGGTCTCGATGGGTCTCTGTGAGTCTCATATGAGTCTCTGTGAGGCTCTGTGGGTCTCTATGGGTCTTTGTGAGTCTCTGTGAGTCTCATATGTGTCTGTGGGTCTCTGTGAGGCTCTGTAGGTCTCTATGGGTCTCTGTGGGTCTATCAGTCTCTGGGTTTATGTGAGTCTCTGGATCTCTGTGAGGCTCTGTGGGTCTCTATGGGTCTCTTTGAGTCTCATATGAGTCCCTGTGGGTCTCTATGGGTCTCTGTGAGTGTCATATGAGTCTCTAGATCTCTGTTAGGCTCTCTGGGTCTCTGTGGGTCTCTGTGAGTCTTTGGATCTCTGTGAGTCTCTGTGAGTCTCATATGAGTCTCTGTGGGTCTCTATGGGTCTCTATGAGTCTCTGTGGGTCTCTGTGGTTCTCTATGAGTCTCTGTGTACAAACGCGCGTTTAGATTGTTTAGCAGCTGCTATAAATGTCCACTTGGTTGAGCTGCCATTAGTTGCGATCAATCAGGTGAAGGGGCTTGTGAACAAGAAGCTACTACAAAGCTCAGTGGGACCTTACTATCTGGTACCAATACAACATAGTTGAGTTATAGTATGGGTCTCGATGAGTAGTACGGGTCCTAGTGGGTTTCTATGAGTCTCTGAGTCTGGATCTCTGTCAGTCTGAATCTCTATGAGTCTCTGTGGCTTTTTGTGGGTCTCTAAGTCCCCGTGAGTCTATGGGTCTCTCACGGTTATTGTTCCTGGGTGGTAAGTGTTTTTTACGTGCTTTTATTTAACTCACTCTGTTGTTGTCATATCCTCAAATCTTGTAACTCAATTTTTACCCACTTCCCAATGTGGTATCGACTGCAAACTTGGTATACTCATGTCATACCGTTGACAATAACTATATTCTATAATAAAAAGTATTTTTAAACATTATTTTTTAAACGTTATGTTTCGGCTTGGGTCTAATTGTCCACGCTCAACTCACGTTGGCTGTAAATCACCACGGGTCCCCTTACGTTGTGGCAAGCCTCAGGGCCACCTCCTGGAGTCGTGGAGTTCTGCCATTACTAGTACGGTACATTTCATTAAAAACGTGTTTTAAAAAAATATATATTTTTAAATATTACTTATTTTCTAATTGCTTATGCCTCAAAAGTATATCAAATGTTTATTATTCCCCACAAACTTTGCTTTTGTGACCAGGACTCTACGTGAAGGATTGACACAAATGCACACCGCGTTTTCTCATTGAAAATTGGTAAATTTCTAAATATCAATGTCCTGGTCACAAAAGCGAAGTTTGTGGGGAATAATAAACATTTTCTGTACTAATCTTGATTTGAGGCATAAGCAATTAGGAAATAACACTTACTACCCAGGAACAAAACATAAATAAATTTGCTACACAGTGTTATTCATGGAGTGGAGTATTAACTTTGCTTTTTGTGTCCTGGTCACAAAGTTTGTGGGGAACAATAGCAATTTCCTGTACTTTTGAGGCGTAAGCAATTAGAAAATAACACTAAACAGGAACCAAAAAAAATGTTTTTGTTACACGTTGTTGTCTGTGGGTTTCTGTCGGTCTCTGGGTCCCTGGATCTCAATGAGCCTGTGGCTTTTTGTGGGTTCTCTAAGTCTCTATGAGTCTGTACAAACACGCGTTTAGAGCACTGATGATGATTATACAGAGTAAAACCTTGTGGATTGCGAGTAACTCGGCCTGCGAGTGTTTTGCAAGACGACCTAACATTTTAAATAAATATTAATTTGATGAACGACCGAGGGTCTTGGAATACGAGCAGTAGTACGTGTAGTGCGCTTTGTACTTCCGAGCGTCACGTGATCACACAACTGATGTACGAGTGCTTTGGATTACAAACACGTTTCCGGAACGAATTGTGCTCGCAATCCTAAGGTTTTGCTGTATCAGCCACTTGGTTGAGCTGCTATCAGCAGCGATAGCCAGCTCAGGGCTCCTGAACACGAAGCTGCCTGGCTCATACTCTTTGTTTCTCTCGGTAAAGTCACGTAGGCCTAAAATAAAATAGCTCATTATGAGACCTCCTTTGCCAGTAACAAGATATAGTAATAGGTTTTTACTCTTTTAACTGGCACAAAAACTGCCACCTTTATTCAAGGCATCATGTTTGCAATAACCACAACACAAGCAGTCAAAATGCAAACAAAAGAGACAACTCTGATAATAATATTGGCACTGTCCTTGAATTTGATTGGTCCACACCCGAGACAGCTTTTCTTAGAGCCCTTTAGTCTCCACTGGTGTTGGACCAGAAGACGCCAAAAGGCGTACAACTCAGAAACAGCGCACTATCAGAGTATTGAGAGCTCGGGGTGAGCATTAACATTATGAGACCTCCTTTGCCAGTAACAAGATATAGTAATAGGTTTTACCCTTTTAACTTGAACAAAGGTGTCAGTTTTTGTGCCAGTTAAAAGGGTAATACCTATTTCTATATCTTGTTACTGGCAAAGGAGGTCTCATAATGTAAATGCTCACCCCGAGCTCTCAATACTCTGATAGTGCGCTGTTTTTGAGTTGTACGCCTTTTGGCGTCTTCTGGCCCAACACCAATGGAGACTAGGCTCTAAGAAAAGCCGTCTCGGGTGTGGACCAATCAAATTCAAGGACAGTGCCAATATCATTATCAGAGTTGTCTCTTTTTGTTTGCATTTTGACTGCTTGTGTTGTGGTTATTGCAAACATGATGCCTTGAATAAAGGTGTCAGTTTTTGTGCCAGTTAAAACGGTAAAAATCTATTACTATAAAATAGCTCAGTCGGGGCCTTACTCTACCTGGTAAGATAAAAAATAGTTTAAAGTTCTTTGTTTACCCTTCCTAATACTTTACACTCCTGTCGCGTTTGCGTCTATTTGTTGTCGTTACATTCTAACCCCCCCCCCCCCACCCCCTCGACATCTGTAGCGAAGAGCTTTACAGCTCATCGGATTCCTCCGGTAAAAATCCTGATTTCTGATTCATGGCGGTCGGGCGGGGGTGGATGGTTGGGTGTCGATTCAGCATGAGCCGTCGGGAGTCTGCAGGTCTCCGCCCGTGCGTGCCATCCGCCGGCGGCACGGCATCGCCGCCGACAACGCCAACAGCGGCGTCGGCGCCGTCGACAGCAGCGGCGTCGGCGTCGGCGTCGTCGGCGTCGTCGGTTCACCAGTGCGAGTTCTGCCCCTACCGCACGAGCAAGCGGGACAACCTCACGGTCCACCGGCGCACCCACACGGGCGAGCGGCCCCACGCGTGCCCCGTCTGCGGCAAGGCCTTCAAGCAGCTGGGCGCCCTCGCGGCCCACCGCACCGTCCACACGGGCGCCAGGCCCCACGCCTGCGCCGCCTGCGGCAAGGCCTTCGCCCACGCGGCGGCCCTGGCGGCCCACCGCGCCGTCCACACGGGCGCCAGGCCCCACGCCTGCGCCGACTGCGGCAAGGCCTTCGCCGACTCGGGCGGCCTCCTCCGCCACCGGCGCACCCACACGGGCGCCAGGCCCCACGCGTGCCCCGTGTGCGGCAAGGCCTTCGCCCAGTCGGGGGGCCTGAGGGCCCACGCCAGGGTGCACACGGGCGAGAAGCCGTACCCGTGCGGCGTCTGCGGCAAGGCCTTCGCCCACGCGGCGGCGCTCGCGGCCCACGGCACGACGCACACGGGCGCCAGGCCGCACGCGTGCCCCGTGTGCCGCCGGGCGTTCGCGGACGCCCGCAACCTGAGGCGGCACGCCAGGGTGCACGCCGCCGACAGGCCGTACCCGTGCGGCACCTGCGGCCGGGCGTTCGCGCGCTCCGGAGACCTGCGCAGCCACCGGCGGACGCACACCGGCGAGAGGCCGTACGCGTGCGGCGAGTGCGGCGGGGAGTTCTCGCGCGCCGAGAACCTGCGCCGGCACCAGAAGACGCACGCGGCGGCCGCGGCGGCCAGGGCGGCGGCGGCCGGGGCGGCGGCGGCCGGGGCGGTGGCGGTATCGCCGGAAGGGACGCCGACGGCCTCCGACAGCGTCGGGGCCTCTTCGCCCGACGTCGTCGGAGAGACGAAGAGGAAGAAGAAGAAGACGGCGTCGTCGTCGTCGGCCACCGGCGTTAGAGCTTCGCCGGGAGCGACGCCCGGCGGCGTAGGAGAGACGAAGGCAACCGCCGCCGCCGCCGCCGCCAGTGTCGCGAGTTCTTCACCGGGAAGGTCGCGCGATGTGGTAGCAGGGACCGCGCCCGACGGAGGGACGACGCCCCCCGCTGTTGGAACCTCGCCGGCAGTGACGCCCGGCGCCGCGCCGGAGACCCGGAAGACGTCCCGCGCCACCAGGAGTTCGCCGGGAGAGACGCTCACCGCGGCAAGAAAGACGGACGCGGTGCCCCGCCGCGTCAGGGCTTCACCGGGGGGCGCGGCCGGGGAGACGACCCCGCCGGGCGGCGTCGGGGCCTTGCCGGCAAGGTCGCGCAAAGCCGTGGCGGGGGCCGCCGCGCCCGGCGGGGTCGCGGCGGCCCCCGGCGTCGGAGCCTCGCCGGGAGGCGCGGCGGGAGGGACGGCGGAGTCGGCCCCCGGCGGCGCGAGGGCTTGGCGTGCGGGAGCGAGGCGCGAGGCGACGGGTGGAGCGCCCAACGCTTTGCGGGGCACGGCGTCCCGGCGGCCGAGGGCGGCCCCCCGTACGGCCGGCGGGTCCCCGACGAGCGACGCGGTGCGGGGGACGGCTCCCGGCCGCGAGGGTTCGTCGGCGGGGAGACTCGACAAGGCGGCAGGGACGACTCCCGGCGGTGAGAGCTTGCCGGCGGGGAGGCTCGGCACGGCGCGGGGGGCCACCCTCAGCGGTAACGGTGCACCGGCGGGTAGGCTCGGCACGGCAGGAGGGACGGCTCTCGGCGGCGGTGACCTGGAAGTGGGGGCGACTCCCCGGGGTAAGGACTTGGCAGCGGCGAGACTGAACTTGATCGGACGGACGACTCCTGGCGGTGAGGGTTTAGCCGTGGGGAGGCTCGACGGGATGGGGCGGGTGCCCTGGTTGTTGGGAGAGGCGCCCGGATTCCCGGGAGGGACATCCGGCGTGCCTGGTGGGAAGTCCAACGCGGCAAAGCCGTGGAATTGCGCGCCGAGCACAGCAGTAAGAGGAGGAGGAGGTGGGGGAGGAGGTGGGGGAGGTGGAGGGTCCCACCCCCGCGTGTTCGGATCGACGACCGGTCGGCCCGGGGGGCTGCCTGACGGCTCGCCGCGGCCGCCGCCGCCGCCGGGAGGGGAGGCGTTCGCGTGCCCGGCGTGCGGCGAGCGCTTCGCCAGGTGGAGGGACTGCCGCAGGCACCGGAGGACCCACCGGCCGTCGATGGCGACGCCGGCCGGCCTGCCCGGCGCTTGGGCAGCGCCGCCGGCCACCGGGGAGGCGGCGTACGCCTGCGCCGGGTGCGGGGAGCGCTTTGCCAAGCGGCGGGACCTCCGCAGGCACCGGAGGGCTCGCCGGGAGGGGTGGGCGGTCGGCGCGGCCCCCGGCGCCAAGCTCCCGCCGGCGGGAGACGAGGCCCAGCTGTGCTGCGTGTGCGGCGAGGCCTTCGCCAAGCGGAGAGACCTCCGCCGGCACCTGAGGGCCGGCCGCGGCGGCGGCGGCGGCGGCGGCGGCGGGGCCCCGGGCGACGGGGACGACGACGCGCCGGAGCTTCTGCCGATGCCGCTGGGGGCGACGGCCGGCACGAAGGCGGCGTCGGGAGAGGCCTACCGCTGCTGCGTGTGCGGCGAGGTGTTCGCTAAGCGGCGGGACCTCCGCAGGCACCAGAGGGCTCACCGCGGCGGCGGCGGCGACGACGCCGAGCCGCCGCCGGGAGCGACGTTCGGTTTGCCAGAAGTGTCGGGCGGGAGGGGCTGCCGCCGCCGCCGCCACCACCACCGCCGCCGCCGCCGCCGGTGCTCCGCGTGCGGCGGCGGCGAGGCGTCGGCCGGGACGGCTGCCCTCGGCGCCGCGGCGGCGCCAGCGGCGCCGCACCCCTGCGAGCGCCGCGGCGGGAGCAGGGGGGCGGCCGCGCCGGCGAGGAGGAAGAGCAAGAAGGTGAAGCTCGAAGAGGCGGGTTTCGCGGAGGCGACGGGGGCGACGAGGAGGATGACGACGAGGAGGATGAGCACGGCGGCGGCGGCGGCGGCGGCGGCGGCGTCGAAGCGGGAGGGCGGCGGCGGGCCGGCCGCGTGGCCGTGGGCCAAGGCGGAGCGGGGGGGCGAGGGCGGCGGCGGGCCCTTTGCCGTGTCGGTGGCGACGCGGGACGGTGGGGGGGAGAGCTCCCACCACCACCGCCACCGCGTTGGGTTTGTGAGTTAGCCGTCGCCCGGCGATCCACCCACAACCACCGCCGCCGCCGCCGCCGCCACCGTGTTGAGTTTGCGTCACGCGGATAGGTTCAGAGAAAATAACGAAACGTGAGTTTTGCCGTCAGCTACCCCACCCACTGCACTAAACTAGCCTGTACACTACGTGACGTTAACGTAAGACCCAAAGAATATGAATTCGAGCAGTCGCGAAAGCTTTAAGTCGAGATTTTGTGTCGAGTTTGTGAGTTAACCGTCGGCCACCCAACCACCACCAGTGTTGAGTTTGTGAGTTTATCCGTCAGCTACCCACCCACCGCACTAAACTACCCCCCTGTACACTGCTACACACGATATACTCTAATAATGCTCTATAGAAGACACGATTATACACTACGATATACACTGCACCACTCTACTGCATTGTGAACTCGTTTCTTTAAATGTGCTGCAGCTTGTTGCGTTTAATTTGTAGTCCTTCCCACCGCACCTCCGATTAGCACGGTTGGCTGCGTGCGGTGGTGTGAAAGAGGTTAAGCACGCACACGACACGTGGAAACTGGTGTAGATATCTCCTCTGGGCTCCTTGGGACTGTCAGGTCTGGCCAGAGGCGATGCAACAGTCTTCGCCTGCTGACGAATGTTGCGGTCAAAGTAAAACGCGCGATTCGTGTACGATGGTGGTGCTGCTGCTGCTCCTGCTGCTGCTGCGTTGGCACAGGGTTAACGCAATTGACGAGGGTGGTTGAGGTTTTATCGGTTGTTATTGTACGGTGTGGTAATGTCTCGTTCAATAAAGTGCAGTTTAGATACCTTTACCTCCTTGGGACCGAATATGGCTTTCGTTTTGAGTCGTCGATGCTGAGAATGCTCACGCCCTGAAGGCTTCTGTGTGTGTGTGTGCGCGTACCCGATGGGATGTTGTAGTGTGGCCCCAACGTGCGCGCGCGTGCACATAGCCTAGCACAAGCGCCCTGGTGATGTGCGTGTGAGTATACTTACGAACATTCGGCTTACGAACGTTCAGAGATACAAACAAACCTGTCCCGTATGTCCAGTTTCCAGTTCGGAGCGAGAGTCGTGTGAGTTCGACCGCCGTGCAATAGATGGTCGGCGGTGGTGGCATCTACTTCTGCAGAACGTGAAGAACCAGTGGCATCTACATCTGCAGAACATGAAGAACCAGTGGCATCTACATCTTCAGAACGTGAAGAACCAGTGGCATCTACATCTGCAGAACGTGAAGAACCAGTGGCATCCACATCTGCAGAACGTGAAGAACCAGTGGCATCCACATCTGCAGAACGTGAAGAACCAGTGGCATCTACAGAACGTGAAGAACCAGTGGCATCCACATCTACAGAACGTGAAGAACCAGTGGCATCCACATCAGCAGAATGTGAAGAACAAGTGGTATCCATATCTGCAGAACGTGAAGAACCAGTGGCATCTACATCTGCAGAAAGTGAAGAACCAGTGGCATCTTACTTCTGCAGAACGTGAAGAACCAGTGGCATCTACTTGTGCAGAACGTGAAGAACCAGTGGCATCTACATCTACAGAACGTGAAGAACCAGTGGCATCTACATCTGCAGAACGCGAAGAACCAGTGGCATCCACAGCTACAGAACGTGAAGAACCAGTGGCATCCACATCTACAGAACGTGAAGAACCAGTGGCATCTGCAGAACGTGAAGAATCAGTGGCATCCACATCTGCAGAACGTGAAGAACCAGTGGCATATACATCTGCAGAACGTGAAGAACCAGTGGCATCCACATCTGCAGAACGTGAAGAACCAGTGACATCCACATCTGCAGAACGTGAAGAACCAGTGGCATCCACATCTGCAGAACGTGAAAAACCAGTGGCATCCACATCTGCAGAACGTGAAGAACCAGTGGCATCTACATCTGCAGAACGTGAAGAACCAGTGGCATCCACATCTACAGAACGTGAAGAACCAGTGGCTTCTACATCTACAGAACGTGAAGAACCAGTGGCATCCACATCTGCAGAACGTGAAGAATCAGTGGCATCCACATCTGCAGAACGTGAAGAACCAGTGGCATTCACATCTACAGAACGTGAAGAACCAGTGGCATCCACATCTGCAGAACGTGAAGAACCAGTGGCATCCACATCTGCAGAACGTGAAGAACCAGTGGCATCTACATCTGCAGAACGTGAAGAACCAGTGGCATCTGCAGAACGTGAAGAACCAGTGGCATCTACATCTGCAGAACGTGAAGAACCAGTGGCATCTACATCTGCAGAACGTGAAGAACCAGTGGCATCCACATTTGCAGAACGTGAAGAACCAGTGGCATCTACAGAACGTGAAGAACCAGTGGCATCTACATCTACAGAACGTGAAGAACCAGTGGCTTCTACATCTTCAGAACGTGAAGAACCAGTGGCATCCACATCTGCAGAACGTGAAGAATCAGTGGCATCCACATCTGCAGAACGTGAAGAACCAGTGGCATTCACATCTACAGAACGTGAAGAACCAGTGGCATCCACATCTGCAGAACGTGAAGAACAAGTGGCATCCACATCTGCAGAACGTGAAGAACCAGTGGCATCTACTTCTGCAGAACGTGAAGAACCAGTGGCATCCACATCTGCAGAACGTAAAGAACCAGTGGCATCCACATCTACAGAACGTAAAGAACCAGGGGCATCCACATCTACAGAACGTGAAGAACCAGTGGCATCCACATCTGCAGAACGTGAAGAACCAGTGGCATCTACTTCTGCAGAACGTGAAGAACCAGTGGCATCCACATCTGCAGAACGTAAAGAACCAGTGGCATCTATCACCTGCAGAAAATGAAGAACCAGTGGCATCCACATCTGCAGAACGTGAAGAACCAGTGGCATCCACATCTGCAGAACGTGAAGAACCGTTGGCATCTACATCTACAGGCGATTATACAACTTTAAAAGCCATTCCCCGTGTTTAGTGTACATGCCATGCAACCATGTTTGTAAACGACAGGCACAAAGTTGGACTTGCGAACAAATTGACTTACAGACAGACCTCTTGAACCGATCTGTACCTGGTGTGGTTATGGGGAGCAGTGGTTGTAGCTGTTAACGCGCTTCGCTGCGAACCCGGCGACCTGAGTTCGACTCCCGCTCACGGCCAACAACAGCGATTATCTGAACCGGTCCTGAGCCTCCCCTAGGTCGACTCGTCCTCAAGCAAGTACTTGGTGCGGAGTGGAATGAACACCGCAACTGGGGCGACAAAGGCGGTGACCGGGCGTGGTGCTGGCCATCCACCCTCTCTCTTGTGCCACAGCTGGCCTTCAAAGGTGCTCGCTAACAGAACTTGCCCTGACATTCTGTTGAGGCTCTACGCGGGATCTTTGTCCTTGCGCAAGCAGCTTCTGTTTTGGCCAGATAAAGGTGGCCTAAATGTGGACGCAGCATGAGCTAGGGTAGAGATGGGCTGATGTGGTTACAGGCGGTTGTGGAGCCCAGTGGAATTTCCAGTGCCAAGATCGGCCTCTGGAGGAGGAGGAGGCTCGTGAAAGATGCTGCTACGGGGAATTTGGAGGCAGTCTCGCCCCCCCCCCCCCCCCCCCCCCCCCAACAACAGCAGAGGGCAGAGGAGCGACGCTGCTCACAACAACGAGCTGAGCGCCGGGCGGATAAAACGCAGCAAGGTGCCACTGGGGATTACAGCTCGTGCATCTGTCGAGTCATCTGTCCTGTGACCTGCACCTAGCTTGGCACAGGAGTCAACCCATGGCACCAGGGACTGTCCTGTGACCTGCACCTAGCCTGGCACAGCAGTCGACCCCACTGCACCTTGGTCTGTCCCGTGACCTGCACCTGGCCTGGCACAGCAGTCATGGTACCTGGGTCTGTCCCGTGGCCTCCTGCACCTAGCCTGGCACAGCAGTCATCCCATGGCACCTGGGCCTGTCCCGTGATCTCCTGCACATAGCCTGGCACAGCAGTCATCCCATGGCACTTGCTGGGCCTGTCCCCATCACCTGCCAACTGCGAGCCTTCCACAGCTCACGTGACAGCCTCACCGTGCACCTAGCCTGGCACAGGCAACGCAGCCTTTCGGCAGCGCGTTTCTTGCGGGGGGTTTCCACGGTCCGGAATCCCCAACGGCTGCCCCGGTGACTTACCCGCAGTGTAAAGTAGCGGTAACGACGCCAACACTCCTCTTCATCCCAAGCCCGCCCGCCCGCCCGCCCGCTTCACCCGGTGAACGTTTACAGAGACAGAGAGAAAGAAAGAGATACCTCGACGCCATTGGCGCGCGAGTTGGTCCCCCCCCGCCCCCATCGTGTGTCCACAAACGTTTGCGCGAATTCGAATTTAAAAGAAATGTTCGACCACAAATGTCTCGTTCGGGCTCGCACAGGAGCAGCGGCAGTGGGCCCTCCCCCCCCTCCGCTTGCGGCGCACTTAATGCACGGGAACAGCTGCCACCACCGGCGGGTGCCCCAGGTTTGGACCACGTCGATGAAAACAACGGCACGTGAATTAAGCTTCGGTCAAACATTTTCCCCCGTAAGAGATTAAGGCAACGGGTTTTGGGAATCGTGGTTATGGGGGAAAGCGACGCCGTCGACGCCCGAGTCCTGCGTCTGCATATTTCACCGGTTAGAGGGCACCCCGCGCACAATCCACAGGAGGTACAAGAGCAATGGGGCTTGCATAATGTGCACGCAGAACGTGTGCGTTCATGATAGAGGGGTTTTTTTTTGGGGGGGTGGGGGGTTAGATGGCGTAAATATATAAATGTGTCGTCGAAACCCGCCACCACCCGACACAGCCGACTGATAAGGGTTGTCACGTAAACAGAACGTGCCAATTAGTCACTAGTACAGCACTAGTGTATAGTGTAGTGTATAGTAGTGTAGTGTATAGTAGCGTAGTGTATAGTAGTGTAGTGTATAGTAGTGTATAGTAGTGTAGTGTATAGTGTAGTGTATAGGAGTTTATAGTCTAGTGTATAGTAGTGTATAGTGTATAGTAGTGTTGTGTATAGTAGTGTTGTGTATAGTGTAGTGTATAGTAGTGTATAGTGTATGGTAGTGTTGTGTATAGTGTAGTGTATAGTAGTGTTGTGTATAGTGTAGTGAATAGTAGTGTATAGTGTATGGTAGTGTATAGTAGTGTTGTGTATAGTGTAGTGTACTAGTACAGCACACCGGTGCGTTGGAGAGCCAAGCCACAACATTTACGATCTGAGTACGACGTTTCGTCAGTAATTACAACCAGCTTCATCAGGCACAAGCGTACGCATTTGGGTGAACTCCCTCCTCCATGCATACGTACTAAAGGGATGGCCCCTAATCCAAAACAACTATATCAATCAATATATTTACAATGACCACCACACGCATATTAAAAGATAGTAACAGCCTGTTTCAAGAAAGGCAAAAAAGTCAAAAATATTTTTAGCACGTTAGCGGAGATGCTTGGGTGTGGTGGGAAACTTGGGCTGGCGGAAGTGAGGCGCTTGTGTACGTGTGCAGGGGCAGAGCCAGGGGGGGGTGACAGGGGGTGACATTCCGCGTGTGAGTGTACGACACTCGGTCTGACGGACTCCGTGCCAACTGCATTGTCAGAGCGTGTCCGCCAACCGATGGCGTCTAGTTCAACAGCCTGACTCTCTCTAAATCATTCTTGAAGTTAACATTTGTCGAATGTCACCCCGGCCTGAAATCCTGGCTCCGCTCCCTGTACGTGTGTATTTGTGACGAATACAAACGTAGTGGGCTCAAAATAGGCGCGCACGCACGTACTTCTTGGGAGGCTTCGCCATTTATTATCAACCCGACGGCCTATTCTAGCTAACACACACACACCATCACTCACGTAGAATCTCGGATGCAACTGGCGGTGACCCAGCCAGCAGGAGGGCTACTGGGCTGGTTCACACCGACTTGAGGCTCGACTCTCCTTCTTCTTCACGGGCCGTCGTCTTTCTCGACACGAGCGGCAGCCCCGAATCCGGTGAGGGAGGCCGCTTATATACCGCCTCGGCGTGTCCGGGCCACACCCCCGGCCACGCCCACGTGGCCACACCCCCCCCCCCCCCACCAACTCCCGGCCCCCACCTTGATCCGGTCACGTGCCACGGCCTCGCACAACCCCCGTGGCCCTCACCCACGGCCACCGGATCTCCCGAACCGGCCCTGACGTCATTCCCGCATGCAGACGCGATGACGTCATGTGTGTGTGTAGACCCGCGTGGTAGTGACGCTCCCGCGCATAGTGACGTCACGCGTGTGCGTGCGCGTGTACACGGTGGTGACGTTACAAGTCACGACACAAAGATCCCCCGTGTAGCCTTAACAGACTGTTGGGGCAAGTGCTGTTAGCGAGCAACCTATGAAGGCCGGAATGGCAGACGGGAGGGGGTTGGGTGGCCCAGCACCGCTCCCCACCGGTAGTGGAGCGGTTAGCGCTACGCCACGCTACGAGCCTGCCGACCCGAGTTCAATTCCCGCTCGGGGCCAACATGTGATTGTGCGAGCCAGCAGGCCCTCACAGCCTATCCTTCGGGAATCCTAGGCTCAATTTATCCTGCCTGTCGCTCCGCTCTCCACTCTCGATTAAATCACCCAAACTCACTTCCCTCTCACTAGCGCTTTCTTCCACTCTGCTGTGCTGGACGCTGTAGAAGGACGAGGCTGCGGGTCGTCTCCGTAGAGGGTTGAGCCTGGCTGGGCTGGGGCTCGTCACATGGACGTCTCGAACGGCTGACTCTCCTGCTCCGTGGACCTCGATGACTGGAAGAAGAACTCTGGTCCCGCTACCCTAAGCCTCCGCGCTTTTATCCACCCTATCCGTGGTGCTCTTTGCCCAATCGGAGGCCGAGTTATTCTCGTCCCTTTCACATTCGGGTCTATAATTTTACCTATAACAAAAAAGGTATTCAGATGCTTCCGTACCCGTGCTGCGCTGTCCAATCGGAGGCCGAGTTATTCTCGTCCCCTTCACATTCGGATTCGTAATCTCCCCTATAACAAAAGCGTTCCGCTGTTCCCACGCCCAGTGCTGCCCTGCCCATTCAAATGTCGGAATGCTCCTGTCCCGTTGTTATTGAGGGTCCCTAATTCTACCTATCACAAAGGCGTACCGCTGTTCCCACGCCCCGTGCTGCCCTGCCCATTGAAATGTCGGAATGCTCCTGTCCCGTTGTTATTGGGGGTCCCTAAGTCTACCTATCACCAAGGCGTACCGCTGTTCCCACGCCCCGTGCCGTTCGTGTGCGTGTGTGATCTCACCCGCGGTGGCTTTACAGCCCCCCTGCCGTGACCATGTCATTATAATATCGGGCCACGGCGCCACGGTGCTGGTCAGCCTCGGAGGTAGGTCGCCCAATTCCCCGGCCGCAGGAAACCATGAAGCTCGATCCCATTGGGGGCTTTCTGGACGAAAACCTGTTGGCCAGGTGACCCGCCCCGCGGGCCCTGTGTGGGGCATGCGTGTGCTGGGTGTGCGTTGCGGCGGCACCACTCAGGTTTCCCGGGGGATGTTTGCTTTGCCTGATTGAAATCATAAACTGTGCTTCGTAATTTTCAATCGGCAGCTACATGCATATGTTCGGAATTAAAATAATAAAGCACTTGGTGATTTTAATCGGTAAATATCAGATTCGAAGTCTTCCGTTTTATCCTGGAGAAAATCCGACGGGTTCTTATTGAGTTTAACACGTAGGCTTTCGCGACCAATATTGTTCAAAATACAGGTTTTTGGGTTAGATCGCGTTATTTATAAATGCGTCTTATTTCACGGATGTCCAGTAGGGGCTGGTTTCGGAAAGCTACAACAACAACAATGCTTGTGGGGTTTAGCAAAGTGATTTCAACCTGATCTGTCTGCTACACTACCACACAATTATCACAGCAGTGAACGTCTAGGATAACTTTTTTTGCGTTGTGCTTGGTGCGTTTAACTCTCCAGCGACAATCATGCAGACGCTCCGGGATTGTAAAACAAACAAAAAAACATTTTACTTTGTGGTAACCCTGCAGATGTTCTATCACTCAACCTGACACTGCAACCGATGACACCTGTTATGCACGGTGGTCACCCGATCTATCCAGGCCATACGAAATTAAGTCTGTAGAGTCGTGCGAATCGACGTCTGTAGGGGGGGGGGGGTGTCAATTGAAGTCTGTAGGGTCTTGTGAATTGTAGTCTGAAGGGCCGTGTGAAATGGAAGTCTGTGGGGCTTGTGAATTTAAGTCTGTAGGGTCGTGTGGATTGTGGTCAGTAGGCCATATGAAATGGAAGTCTGTAGGGGCGTGTGAATTGAAGTCTGTAGGGGCGTGTGAATTGAAGTCTGTAGGACAATGTGATGTGTAAGTTTGTTGGGTCATAGTTTTACCATCCTTGACGTGCAGGGATGACGACTAGGATTGGTGTTAGGATCAGCGGCGAGCAGTTGTGACCAGGTGCTGCTGTGTGTAACGATTACAGATACAGTGAGGGGAAAAAAGAATGTGATCCCCTGCTGATTTTGTACGTTTGCCCACTGACAAAAGAAATGATCACTCTATAATTTTAACGGTAGGTTTATTTGAACAGCGAGAGACAGAATAACAACAAGAAAATCCAGAAAAACGCGAATTTAAGAGCCGGGAGCCAACAACAGCTTGGTGCTCGCAATGGCTACAGCGACTATTGGAAGGGTCGATGCGGCCTCCGCGTTGAACAGCAGGAGACAACGGGTACAGTCTGGATCCGCTACAACGCTGCGTGTTAGTTCTAACGACGCCAACTGGACGACACAACGCCGTGAATGTATCGTAGGGGATACACGCCGTCCGTAACGCGGACGCGGATTGGATGCTACGCGACCGAGCAAACGGAACTACGTCTCAACGCGAGTAGGAGTAAGCGGTTCTACGTGCGGCTGCCCTCGGCGTAGCGGCGTCGCAACGAGGAGGAGGCGTTGGGATGCTGCTGGATGCTTCTAGACGCTACCCACGCGCCTCGGTTTTAGTCCCGCCTCTGTCTTGCCCATCATCTCGCGTGTTATCGCGGACCACGCTTCACCCCCCCCACTATAGTTTATATTATTTCTCCACAACGCGGTTGTTCTTCAGGAACGCAACAACCACCGCCGCGTTGCGGGAGAACGACGGACCGTGAACGCGCTTCGACGATTCGCGGTAACGCGACGGCAACACAAAGCGCCACGCGCGGTCTCTTGCGACCGGCGGTATCTGCGACGAAGGTTTTTGTCGTCGTTGCCGCCGGGTTAGATGGCGTTGGATCACAATCCTGGCACGTCGCCCGATGAAGCCGGTCGCCGTTGTTTGTAATCGCCGGCGACACGTCACCGGTACTCGAATTGTAAATGCTGTTGTGGGTTCACTCTCGGCGACACGCAAGCGCCGTGTGCTGAAGTTGGTAACCAATTGGCACGTTTCGTTTACGTGACAAACCCTGACTGATTGGCCGTGCCAGGCGATGGTGGTGGGTGACGGTGGGTTAACGACACAATGTTTATGTTTACGAGATCTCTAACACAACAACAACAACAAAGAACAAACCTCTGTCACGGCAAAGTGTCACCACAGAGCAAGTCGCTCCCACCTCCTGGAGACACTGACAGAACAAGTCGCTCCCACCTCCTGGAGACACTGACACAGAGCAAGTCGCTCCCACCTCCTGGAGACACTGACACGGGCTGTGTGAGCTGGGCTGCCTTCACAACCAACGAGACGCCGGCGCTGCCAACTGGGACCAAGACGTCAGCGCTGCCTCCACCGGTCCGGTGAGGTCATTCTCAACAGCAGGTTTTTGTTTTTTTACTTCACTTTACTTTTCCATGTAAGGCCCCCACTGAGCTGTGGGGTAGCGACCCGCCTATCACAAATGACGGCAGCGCACCGAAGTGGCTTGTCACGTGACATTTACAGCAGCCAAATACTCTGAACGCATGTTGAGATGTTAACCACCTCTCCTGGTATACAGGAGATCGTTGGTTCGATTCCGACCCTGACGCCTGCTGTATATTTTGAGTTTGCGCGTCTCTCTCTCTCTCTCCCCGTTGTCGTGTGGATTTTTCTCCAGGTCCTCCGGTTTTTCCCTCGACATTTAGAATCCAGATCACGCAATCAGAGTATCTGGCCGCTATCAATGTCCACGCAATGATGAGCCTCTTCGTTGAGCTTTCATTTGTGATGGCCAGGTGGTCGCGTCTGATTAAAGAGCCACTACGTATCCAGTTGGACCTTACTTGGTAAAATCCCAAGATAATGTTTGTTAGTTTAAGTATGTGTATATAATTTTAAACAGAATCACAAACTAACGCTCAAGAGTCAACGCGCGCCACCACCGAGCGACAACACGGGAGCAACCGAAACGACGCCGAGAATCTCTCGACACTTTCCCACGTCCGAGACGTCTGCAGAGTTGTAGGGTGGGTGTCACCGTTCACGGGGTGGGCGTCGCCGTTCACCGCAGAATCCCACGAATTGAGCGAGCGGCTGCTGCTGTTGTTATCAAGACGTCGTTGCTCACCGCAGAGAAGCGTAGCGACACGACCGCCGCCACTCTGCGCTAGCCGGCGCCAAAACTGTGCCACGCTCCCTGCCCCGCGTGGCCCTGTGGGAGCCTCGCTACCGATAAAGTTACTTTAGTTCTCACTGCGTTTTGTTGTTCCGACGACGACGACGTTCACGCACGGCGCGCGGCGTCGTCGCAACGGCAAAGGGTCAAAGTTCACGCCGGGAACATTTTCAACGGGGGAGGCAGCAGCAACAACACGCAGGGCGATCCAAGCGCAGATGCCCCACTCATACCTACACCCGCCCCCCCCCCCCCAACGCCATCTCGGAATATTTTTTCAGGTCGCAGGAATTCGATGAGCTATGAAGCTCTTCTCCGCAGATCTCCAGCCGTTCCACAGATGTCCTCTCCTACCAACCCCCTCCTTTCCTCTCGGCAGCAAAGTGAATATCGCGCAAGCGATGGCTCGGGGCTACGGGACTGAGTGCACGGAGATTCGTGAGCGGACGCCGCCTTCGTCATCGGCCGCGGTTCGGCCTACCGCTGGATGGGTACGCACTGTACGCACTGTACGTACGTCGCACGGGGCAGGGCTACGAGACGGCACGCGGTGCTCACGGAGACCGGCGGGAGACGTGCAGACTGGGGTATCTGTAGGTGGATCGCCATGCAGTGCCCCCCTCTAGGGTGACAACAGTGCAGCTCTGCACGGGGGACTCTGCACACTCACACACAGGGACCCCCAGGTGGTGGGGGTGGGACGTGCAGTGGTTCGGACCGAGAACTCTGCACTTGCAATCGAGGGGTGGCCGGGTCGGTTTAATCTCCCGCCCCCCACAGGGTGTGAGGCAGGTGTAGGAGGATTCCGTAGGTTTCCGTGTTCACATTCAAAATCAGTTTCAAGAGTGGCACAGCCTCGGTTAATCACGTGGCCTGTTGTTTGAAACTAATTCACAGCTCGGCGCTGTGCGCTTTGTGCTCAGGATGGCTGACTTTTCTGTTTTCACGTGGATGAGAAAATGCATTCTGGCCGGTGTGTGTTCTCTGGTGCCTATGAAGATGTGATAGATGTGCAAACGCCTTCTCACACACGGTGCACTTGAACGGCTTCTCTCCCGTGTGTGTTCTCTGGTGCCTGTGAAGTGTTGATGGCCGTTCAAACGCCTTCTCACACACGGTGCACTTGAACGGCTTCTCTCCCGTGTGTGTTCTCTGGTGGCTGTGAAGAGTTGATAGCCATGCAAACGCCTTCTCACACACGGTGCACTTGAATGGCTTCTCTCCCGTGTGTGTTCTCTGGTGGCTGTGAAGATGTGCTAGTTGTGCAAACGCCTTCTCACACACGGTGCACTTGAACGGCTTCTCTCCCGTGTGTGTTCTCTGGTGGCTGTGAAGAGCTGATAGCCATGCAAACGCCTTCTCACACACGGTGCACTTGAACGGCTTCTCTCCCGTGTGTGTTCTCTGATGGCTGTGAAGACTGGATAGGTCTGCAAACGCCTTCTCACACACGGTGCACTTGAACGGCTTCTCTCCCGTGTGTGTTCTCTGGTGGCTGTGAAGAGCTGATAGCCATGCAAACGCCTTCTCACACACGGTGCACTTGAACGGCTTCTCTCCCGTGTGTGTTCTCTGATGGCTGTGAAGACTGGATAGGTCTGCAAACGCCTTCTCACACACGGTGCACTTGAACGGCTTCTCTCCCGTGTGTGTTCTCTGGTGCTTGTGAAGAGTTGATAGCCGTGCAAACGTCTTCTCACACACGGTGCACGTGAATGGCTTCTCTCCCGTGTGTGTTCTCTGGTGGCTGTGAAGAGCTGGTAGTTGTGCAAACGCCTTCTCACACACGGTGCACTTGAACGGCTTCTCTCCCGTGTGTGTTCTCTGATGGCTGTGAAGACTGGATAGGTCTGCAAACGCCTTCTCACACACGGTGCACTTGAACGGCTTCTCTCCCGTGTGTGTTCTCTGGTGCTTGTGAAGAGTTGATAGCCGTGCAAACGTCTTCTCACACACGGTGCACGTGAATGGCTTCTCTCCCGTGTGTGTTCTCTGGTGCCTGTGAAGATCTGGTAGTTGTGCAAACGCCTTCTCACACACGGTGCACTTGAACGGCTTCTCTCCCGTGTGTATTCTCTGGTGCCTGTGAAGATCTGGTAGTTGTGCAAACGCCTTCTCACACACGGTGCACTTGAACGGCTTCTCTCCCGTGTGTGTTCTCTGGTGTATCTTCAAGCTACTCTTGCGGTCTGTGCTGTATGGACATTGGTCACACTGATGACTTTTGTTACTGGGCTTAGTGGGGTGTCTCCTCTGCACGTGATGCTCTAGACTAGAGAGGCAGATGAACTGACGGTTGCAGGCAGGACACGGCAGCCTTGTGACCTCCACACCCACTCCACCTGCGTCATCCCAGAGGCATAAGACACATGCGCACACACCTAGACATGAACACTCTTGCACACGTGTGTGTGTATATTCAAAGGTAAAGGTCCCCAACAGCCATATCAGACTGTTGGGCAAGTGCTGTTTGCAAGTACCTATGAAGGCCGGCATGGCACACGAGTGGGAGGGTGGCCAGCACCACACATGGCCGCCTTTGTCTCCCAGTGGCAATGTTTACTACTACACACCACAACTGTTGCTCATTTGTACCTTAGTAGTGTGTGTGGTGCCTATTACCTCTGGTGAGCAGTGGCTATCATCCCTGGTGAGCGGTGGCTATCATCTCTGGTGAGTGGTGGCTATCATCTCTGGTGAGTGGTGCCTATCATCTCCGGTGAGTGGTGGCTATCATCTCTGGTGAGTGGTGCCTATCATCTCTGGTGAGTGGTGGCTATCATCTCTGGTGAGTGGTGCCTATCATCTCTGGTGAGCGGTGGCTATCATCTCTGGTGAGTGGTGGCTATCATCTCCGGTGAGTGGTGGCTATCATCTCTGGTGAGTGATGGCTATCATCTCTGGTGAGTGTTGGCTATAGTCTGGTGAGCAGTGGTGAGTCTCTGGTGAGCGGTGCTCACAGTGTTCCTCGCTTGGTGGAGGCTGCACGGGCTGCAGGTCTCTGGCGGTGGCCCTGGGAGCCAACTCGCTGCTGCTGCTGCTGCTGCGGCGTCGCGAGGGCCCGGCCTCGCAGGCGATGCCCAGCTCCTGGGCGAACTCCTCGCCGTACCAGACCAGCAGCTCAGAGCCGGGCCCCACGGCACGGAACGTGCGGTAGTAAATCTGCCCCCGGTGCTGGAAGGCCACCAGGTTCTGCTCCTGCTCATTCCTCGCGCAGTTGACGAACCTGCGGGGGCAGACGCGGGGGGCGGGGTGGGCGCCGTTAGCGAGCGCCTATTAAGGGCCGGCACTGGGCGCTACGTGGGGGTGGTGTGGCTGGAACCACGCTCGGTACCGGGTGCTCATTTGATGCCGAGTCGACCAAGGGGAGGCCCAGGGTCTCTGGGTGCAGTGGTTCTGGTCTCTGTGTGTGGTGGTTCTGGTCTCTGTGTGTGGTGGTTCTGGTCTGTGTGTAGTAGTTCTGGTCTCTGTAGTGGTTCTGGTCTCTGTATGTGGTGGTTCTGGTCTCTGTGTGTGGTGGTTCTGGTCTCTGTATAGTGGTTCTGGTCTCTGTGTCGTGGTTCTGGTCTCTGTGTGGTGGTTCTGGTCTCTGTAGTGGTTCTGGTCTCTGTGTGTAGTAGTGCTGGTCTCTGTGTGTAGTGGTTCTGGTCTCTGTGTGTGGTGGTTCTGGTCTATGTGTAGTGGTTCTGGTCTCTGTGTGTGGTGGTTCTGGTCTCTGTGTGTAGTGGTTCTGGTCTCTGTGTGGTGGTTCTGGTCTCTGTAGTGGTTCTGGTCTCTGTGTGGAGTGGTTCTGGTCTCTCTGTGTAGTGGTCCTTAAGACAAGAATCACCTCATCCAATTTGATTTTGATTCATCCTGAGCATCAACATATTCACGATCCTTTTTGTTTTTGTAAATCTGAAACACACACGCACACGAGCAGATCCACGGATAATTAATGTGAGTTGGACCGTAACTGGAACTTCTTTCGTACCGGACATAGCCAACCGTGCTGATCAGAGGTGCGGGGGAAGGACAACAAACTAAACACTAAAAGCAGTTCTAAAGAAATGAATTTTAAATCTACAAGATTTACAAGTGCATAGCTCCAGTAGCTTCCTAATATTGTAAGGAAGAACCTTCCAGACGGCCACAGAAGTGCGTCTGTAAGCGCCGCGCCATGTGCTGACCACCGTCTTTGCACGATGGGTAGCCAAACGCCGCTGCTGCTGCTGCTGCTGCGAGCATGAACAGAGTTTGCGTGATGATGGTTTATGCTTCTTGACGAGATAAGCGGCGAGGTCTCGTGGTTTATTTTTGCGTAAGGAGTGCGTGAGGCGGAACCACCAGTCTGTGGTTCCTCCTCACGCATCGAAGTTGTTCTGTCCTTGCGAGCGAGCGGCTACTGTGGGTTACAAGTTGAACTCATGACGTTAAATTTTGGGTCTCTCTGTGAATCTGTGGGTCCCTGTGTGAGTCTCTGAGTCTCTGTCCAAATCTCTAGGTCTCTGTGTGAGTCTCTGGGTCTCTGTGTGAGTCTGTGGGTCTCTGTGCAAGTCTGTGGGTCTCTCTGTGAGTCTGTGGGTCCCTGTGTGAATCTCTGAGTCTCTGTGCGAGACTGTGGGTCTCTGTGCGATTCTCTGGGTCTCTGTGCGAGTCTCTGGGTCTCTGTGCGAGTCTCTGGGTCTCTGTGTGTCTGTGGGTCTCTGTGCGAGACTGTGGGTCTCTGTGCGAGTCTGTGGGTCTCTGTGCGAGTCTCTGTGCGAGACTTTGGGTCTCTGTGCAAGTCTCTAAGGTCTCTGTGCGAGTCTGTGGGTGACTGTGTGAAGCTATGGGTTTCTCTCTATCTCCCTCACGAGCCTCCTCTCCACACACACGATGATGATGATGATGTAGGAACAGGAGGAGGCTGCAGCAGTGGCAGTGGCAGCAGCAGCAGCTCACCAGCCAGCAGTACTCGCTCACGGGGTTCTCCTCAGACACCTCTCCCTGGTAGGGCCCAAACATCACCCCCTTGGGCAGCTTCTTCCTGTTGCTCCACACCCCGAGGCCGGCGCCGGCGATGGAGGAGGCGCCGACGGTGAGGCCCTGGGGCAGGCTGAGCCGGGCCCTGTCGGCCACTCCCGGGGCCACGGCCGTGTCCGCGATGAACTCTGGCGGGCCGTGCACGGAGCACTCCCCCAGGTAGAAATCCCTGCACAGCTCGCAGACTGAGAGCCACAGCAGCAGCAGCAGCAGCAGGAGGGGGGCGAATCGCAGTAGCAACAGCAGCAGCAGCAGTGGCACTGTGAGAGAGTGAGAGGGTGAGGAGCGCTCCAGACAGATGCCTCCCTCCCTCCCTCTCTGCATGGTGAACTTATTTAGCTCGCTCATCGGAGATGTATCCCCTGTCACCCTCCCTGCATCCCTCCCCTCCCTCCCTGCATCCCTGAGTGAGGGAGTAAAAGAGAGAGAGGTGAGTGAGAGTGCGAGAAAAAGGAGCGTGTGAGAGGGAGGGCAAGGGGGAGAGAGTGAGAGGAAGCAGGTGGAATATATCGAGTGAGAACGCGGGAGCAATAGAGGGACATAGGTGAGAGTGTGAGAAAGTGAGAGTGTAACAAAGCGAGAGAGATAGGTGAGAAAGTGACAGTGTAACAAAGCGAGAGAGATAGGTGAGAGTGTGAGACAGTGAGAGTGTAACAAAGCGAGAGAGATAGGTGAGAGGGTGAGACAGTGAGAGTGTAACAAAGCGAGAGAGATAGGTGAGGGTGTGGGAAAGTGACAGTGTGAGAGAGAGTGTGAAAGTGACAGTGAGAGATTGACAGTGAGAGAGAGAGTGAGAAAGTAACAGAGTGACAGTGAGAGTGAGAAAGTGAGAGAGAGAGGTAGAGGGAGCAGGGGGTCTCACAGAAGAAGTCGTCGTCCTGGGGCTCCTCCACCTCTGTGTAGACTTTCCTCTCGCGCTGCCGCAGGCCGTAGCGAGAGCGAGCGCTGAGCGACACCGCCGCAGCCTGGGCGGAGGAGGCCGGCGGCACGGAGGAGCCTGCGGGCAAACGCGGCGAGATGTTGACCACCTCTCCCGGTGTACGGGAGGTCGTGGGTTCCATCCCGACCCTGACGACCCACGCTATATGTTTGGAGTCTGCGTGTTGTACCTCCACGTGGTTGCTTGGATTTTTCCCCGGGTCCTCCGGTTTTCCCCTCGAAGTTCAGAATCGACGTCACGCATTGAGGGTAATTTGGCCTCCTATAAATGTCCACGTGATGACGATGGTGACAAGTCACTTTGCTGATCTATCATTTGTGATAGCCAGGACGCTTCTGAAAAAACAGCTACACGGCTCAGTGGGGCTCACCCTGGTAAAATAAACATTGTTTGGTTCATAGGCTGCATCAGTACCAGCAGCAGCACTGACGGGGGCACATGTAGCAGTAGCATCAACAGCATTGGCGACTTCCATCAGCAGCAGCGGAAGATTGCGGAGTTCCGGTGGGAATAGAGGGGAGCGTGGAGTTCCGGTGAGAATAGAGGTGGAGTGTGGAGTTCCGGTGAGAATAGAGAGGAGTGTGGAGTTCCGGTGAGAATAGAGTGGAGTGTGGAGTTCCGGTGAGAATAGAGGGGGAGCGTGGAGTTCCGGTGAGAATAGAGAGGAGCGTGGAGTTCCGGTGAGAATAGAGGGGAGCGTGGAGTTCTGGTGAGAATAGAGGGGAGTGTGGAGTTCCGGTGAGAATAGAGGGGAGTGTGGAGTTCCAGTGAGAATTGAGGGGAGTGTGGAGTTCCGACTGGAATAGAGGTGGAGTGTGGAGTTCCGGTGAGAATAGAGGGGAGTGTGGAGTTCCGGTGAGAATAGAGGGGAGTGTGGAGTTCCGGTGAGAATAGAAATCACCGCTGCAGGCTACGCACCTCCACGTATCCTCTGGAGCACCACCCTCAGGGCCTCCTTGCAGGCGGTGGCTCTGCGCTCCAGCCTGAACATCGCCATCCTGGCCTTGTGCACCTCCCTCAGCTCAAATCCCCTGAACTCCTCCTCCTGCTGCTGCTCCTCCTCCACGCCCTGCAAGATGCTCCACACGTACTCCAGGGCTTCCGCTTTAGTCTGAGCGGAGGGGGCGGTGGGGTGAGGGGTCGGAAGGGGGTGTGGGGGGCAGAGTTGGTGCGGTGACCAGCGGTGGCTGGGAGATGTTAACTCCCTCGCCTGGTACGCAGGAGGCCGTGGGTTCGATCTTGACCCTGACACCTCATCGGATTCCTCCAGTACAATACATATTCTAATTCTGATATTCTGCTTCTGTATATCTGATTCCATACATCAAGCAGAACCATGCCGTCGTCATGCTGAACCTCGGTGGGTATGGCAGGCCAAGCCTCTTCTACGAAAAGTAAAAAGTAATAAAATACAAATTAAGATTCTTCCGCTGATCTGTGTTACGTCATTTCTGTATGACTCCAATAATTTTGATCGTGAAAATTGCCAAATTTGCGTAGATCCGCTGCTAATACAGGGAGACGAGAGGTGAGGCAGCGACGAGCTCAGCCTCCCCTCTGATTGCGCAACCCCTCAGAAACTGGATGGAGCGCGGGCAATAAGCGCGTGCCTGTTACCATCTCTCTGTAATGATTGGAATTAAACAGAAATTACATTTATAACACAGATCAGTGGAAACATTTTTTTTTACTTTTCGTAACAGCTAATTTCATTGGCGTATATGACAGGTGAGGCTCTAGCCTCGCCTGCCTCCCCTGACCGCACGTCCCTGGTATAGTAAGTAGTGTTTAGTAGTACGTACGTATGTTGAAGTTCTTTGGCACCGTACGTAGCCAACCTCGCTAATGGGAGGTGCGTGGGAAGGACAACTAAAGACAACAACAACAGCAGCAGCAGCTGTAACGAGAGGAGTGCCGTGCGCTGTGCACAGAGACCTTGCGCTTGCTGGGAGCTGCCCTCGCGTGCGACTCTCCCACGGTAGCCCAGCGTGAAGCGGCCCCCTTGCCTCCTCCTGCGTGAACACACGCACATACGTGAACACACGCACACACACACGTGAACACACACACGTGTGAACACACACGTGAACACTCACACACGTGAACACACGCACGTGAACACACGCACACACGTGTGAACACACACACACGTGAACACACACACACACACGTGTGAACACACGCACACACGTGTGAACACACGCACACACGTGTGAACACACGCACGTGAACACACGCACACACGTGTGAACACACGCACACACGTGTCCATGTGTGTAAACACATGGATACCCGTGAACACACGCACAAACGTGTGTTCACACGGACACGCATGAACATATGCAAAGACAAAGATCCCCCGTATAGCCTTAACAGACTGTAGGGGCAAGTGCTGTTAGCGAGCACCTATGAAAGCCAGAACGGTACATGAAGGGGTGAGTGGCCAGCACCATGCCCGACCGCCTTTGTCTCTCCAGTGGCGATGTTTACTACACACCACCGCACCAGGTACTCATTTTGAGGCTGAGCCGACATAGGGGAGGCCCAGGTCCGGTTCAGATCGTCGTCACTGGTGTTGGCCGTGAGCGGGCATTTAACTTGGGTCGCCGAGTTCATAGCGCAGATTGACAACCATTTTAACATGTAGGATTTCGCGACCAATATTATTAATAATAAAGATTTTTTTTGGGTTAGATCGCGTAATTATAAATGTGTCGCTAAACCCGTCACCACCCGACGAAGCCAATCCGTAAGTTTCGATTTAAAGCTTTCGTGACTGCAATGATTCATCTTCTTGGTTCTTTCGGTAAAGTCACGTAGAATGATAATAAACGTCGTGAGAATATTATTGTGTTATTTTATTTTATCAATTTTATTATCATTCTACGTGACTTTACCGAAAGAACCAAAGAAGACCAATCCGTAAGGTTTGTCAGAAAAAACAAAACGTGCCAATTAGTTACTAGTTCAGCACTAACCGGTTGTGTGGTGGACAGTGAACCCACAACAATTCGAGTATGGTACTGTGACGTTCTGTTGGTGATTACAACCAGCTTCATCAAGTGAGTCTACAGGGGGTCTCTGTGTGAGTCTACAGGGGGTCTCTGCGTGAGTCTACAGGGTGTCTCTGTGTGAGTCTACAGGGGGTCTCTGCACGCTGTGCAAGCGCCCTTTTACGTTTGCCTCCTCCGCCTCTTCGTCCTCCGTGCACCGCCACCTCTTTCCTCTTCCTCCTCCCCGTCCACTCCTCGTCGGAGTCACTCGACCGCCCACACTCCGCTCCATTCCCCCTCGCCCTGCGCTTGCCGCGTGCGCGCATGAACTCGGGCTGGGCCGGGTTCATCCCTGCGCAAGGAGGCAGTTGGTCATTGTTATTTGGACGTATTGGCGGTACACCGGTGCAGCATAGCGACTCACCGGTTCCTCTTAACACAGTCCTGACGATGTGATTATTATCGGAGAGTGTTTGTTTGTCGTGTTCGCCACAAGTACGCGTGGTGAATGCAGTAGCTTTGATTCCTTGCAAAAGCTACCATCTATCTGGTGTTTGAACATCTTAACCGCCTCCTGTTTCATTCCCCTAAACCGTAAAACCTATTCTTATTTTTCACAGTCCCGACGATGTCGCTGTCGCCCCTTGAGTGAGCTGCAGGGCTCTCCGTCAGAAGTTGCACTCAGATTCAGCAGCCGCGTCCCCCATTCCGAACGTGCGGTGGCGACACCACGAGTCGTATCGAGGAACCGTCCCACCGAGTCTCTAGGGGCACGAGGAGTCAAATCTTGCCGCTGGAGCACGGAGCAGCCGATCGTCATCACACTGGGCACGACTGGAGCACGGAGCAGCAGATCGTCATCAGACTGGGCGCCGCTGTACATCAACAGACTGCGAAGCTTCGTGTTCAGTTCTGCTCGTGTCACGTTCCGTCTTCCCGCCGCTACGGCATCACGACAACTGATTTTGACGCACCACCACCACCACCCCGTAATATCCTTCTGTCCGGGGTCTCGAATCGCGAGGAAAATAAATAATTATTGCCAAAAATGTGCTGATTGTTTTAGACAGCGTAACGGTGTACCACCGCCACTACGTTCATCTATATAATGTGGCTGCTACAACAACACCAAGCAATACAGTAAACACGATAGGAGTGTAAAGTAGAGGAAAGGTTAACAAATCACACACACACAAAATAAACTATTTTTGTAAATGTTGTGGGTTTACTCTCCAACATTAAGAATCCGATCAGCTATGAAGCTCTTTTTCACAGATGTCCCATAGGGGGCACGGGGCCAGAAAAGTTACAACAACAACGACACAATACACAAACACGATAGCAGTGCAAAGTAGAGGAAAGGTAAACAAATCATTAAACTAAATCTATTTTTACTTCACCAGGTGAAGTCCACTGAGCTATCGGCTTCTTCTTCAGAAGCCACCTGGCTGCCACAAATGACAGCTCAACCAAGTGGCTCACCACGTGGAAATTTACAGCAGCAGCCAAAAACGTTAAACGCGTGATGTTGAGTCTACATTGTGGAGCGACAACCCGGAGGACTGGGATCGAACCCACGACCTCCTGTAGACCAGGCGAGGTAGTTAACATCTCACGGGGGAGAGACACACGCAGACTCCAGATATATGACAGGCATCGTCAGGGTCGGCATCGAACCCACGACCTCCTGTAGACCAGGCGAGGTAGTTAACATCTCACGGGGGAGAGACACACGCAGACTCCAGATATGTGACAGGCATCGTCAGTGTCGGCATCGAACCCACGACCTCCTGTATACCAGGCGAGGTAGTTAACATCTCACCGGAGAGAGACACATGCAGACTCCAGATATGTGACAGGCATGGTCAGGGTCGGCATCGAACCCACGACCTCCTGTATACCAGGCGAGGGAGTTAACATCGCATAGCCACCGTGGCGCCCCGTGCATGACACTCTGCTACGACGTTCTGGTCTCATCATCATTATAATCACTACGACAATTAGTTTATTTGTGAAGAGGCTCGGGCCTGCCGTACCCACCGAGGTTCAGCATGACGGCGTGGTTCTGCTTGATGTTCCTGTAGCGCCGCTTCTCGCACTCGGCCAGATCGCCCCACTCGGCCTTGGTGAAGAAGCCTCTGATGTCTCGGAAGTCGCCCATCTCCTGCTGCTGAGGCGCAGAGACACGGAGGGGACGAGACGCGGACGACGGTCAGACGCAGTCACGGAGAAGCAGTCACGGAGACGGAGTCACACGGATAGCGAGTCACGGAGATGGAGTCACACGGATAGCGAGTCACGGAGATGGAGTCACACGGATAGCGAGTCACGGAGATGGAGTCACACGGATAGCGAATCACGGAGATGGAGTCACAAGGATAGCGAGTCACGGAGATGGAGTCACACGGAGACGCAGTCACGGAGATGGAGTCACACGGATAGCGAGTCACGGAGATGGAGTCACACGGATAGCGAGTCACAGGGATACGAGACAAAGATCCCCCGTGTGGCCTTAACAGACTGTCTGGGCAAGCGCTGTTAGCGAGCAGCGCCTATGAAGGCCGGAACGACGCGCGAGGGGGTGGGTGGCCAGCACCACGCCCGGCCGCCTTTGTCTCCCCAGTGGCGATGTTCACTACTTCACACTCGCTGCACCGGGTGCTCATTTGAGGCTGAGTCGACCTAGGGGACGAGGCCCAGGACCGGGTTAGAAGATCGTCGCCGGTGTTGGCCGAGCGCTGCGCTACGAAGCCGGCAGAGACCCGAGTTCCATTCCCGCTCACGGCCACCACCAACAGCGGTGACGATCATCTGAACCGGTCCTGGGACCTCGTCCCCTAGGTCGCCTCGGCCTCAAATGAGCACCCGGTGTAGCGGTGTGTGAACATCGCCACTGGGGAGACAAAGGCGGCCGGGCGTGGTGCTGGCCACCCACCCCCTCGTGTGCCACAGTGCCGGTAGCCTTAATGGGTGCTGCTCACTAACAGCCTGTTAGAGGCTACACGGGGGATCTTTGTCTTTGTGGTAAAGTGTGAGGACTCCCCACCTCTACCATGACGTACTAGCTCCAGATAGAGGTAACTTTACCCCACGTTAGTTAAATTTACCTCAGGTGAGGTGACTTTACCTCAGGTGAGATAACTTTACCTCAGGTGAGGTGACATTACGTTAGTTAGAGGTAAATTTACCTCAGATGCGGTAACTTTACCTCATGTGAGGTAACATTACCTCAGGTGAGATAACTTTACCTCAGGTGAGGTAACTTTACCTCAAATAAGATTACTTTACCTCAAGTGAGGTAACATTACGTTAGGTAGAGGTAACTTTACCTCAGCTGAGGTAACTTTACTTCAAGTGAGGTAACATTACCTCAGGCAGAGGTAACATTACCTCAGGTGAGATAACTTTACCTCAGGGGAGGTAACTTTACTTCAAGTGAGGTAACGTTACCTCAGGGGAGGTAACTTTATCTCAGGTGAGGTAACTTTACCTCAGGCCAGGTAACTTTACCTCAAGCAGAGGTAAAATTACCTCAGGTGAAGTAACATCTCAAGAGAGATAACTTTACCTCATGCGAGGTAACATTACCTTTGGTGAAGTAAAATTACTTCAGGTGAGGTAACTTTTCTTGAGGTGAAGTAACTTTACCTCAGGTAGAGGTAATATTACCCCACGTTAGTTAAATTTACCTCAGGTGAGATAACTTTACCTCAGGTGAGGTAACTTTACCTCAAATGAGATAACTTTACCTCAAGTGAGGTAACATTACGTTAGGTAGAGGTAACTTTACCTCAGGTGAGGTAACATTACCTCAGGAGAGGTAACTTTACCTCAGGTGAGGTAACATTACCTCAGGTAGAGGAAACTTTACCTCAGTTGAGATAACTTTACCTTAGGCGAGGTAAATTTACCTCAGATGAGATAACTTTACTTCAGGTAGAGGAAACATTACCTCAGGTGAAGTAGCTTTACCTCAAGTGATGTAATATAACGTTACGTAGAGGTAACTTTACCTCAGGTGAGATAACTTTACCTCAGATGAGGTAACTTTACCTTAGGCGAGGTAAATTTACCTCAGGTAAAGTAACAGTATCTCAAATGAGGTAACTTTACCTCATGCGAGGTAACATTACCGTAGGTGAAGTTAAATTACTTCAGTTGAGGTAACTTTTCCTGAGGTGAAGTAACTTTACCTCAGGTAGAGGTAACATTACCCCACGTTATTTCAATTTACCTCAGGTGAGATATCTTACCTCAGGTGAGGTAACTTTACCTCAAGTGAGGTAACATTACGTTAGGTAGAGGTAACTTTACCTCAGGTGAGATAACTTTACCTCAGGTGAGGTAACATTACCTCACTGAGGGTAAGGTAATCAGAATGTGATGCAATCCGAATAAAATCACGTTATATTATAAGGTAATCTTCACCGCGACATTCTCATTCAGTGCAAAGTAAATATTGTACAATTAATTAGTCGCTCGTGTCAACACTGTACTAGATGTGGAGCTGTAATCGTAACGTGAAGTCGTCTCGTAGCGTAAATCTTACACGATTTTAAATACGGACTGCAATGTAACCCCCGTGTAATGTAACCCTTCTAATGATCACCGTGTAATGTAATCCAAAGGTAATCCTTCAGATAAGGTAACATTACCTCAGGTGATGTAACTTGTAATCCCCGTATAATGTATTGTGCATGTAATATCCGTGTAATGTAATCCCCGTATAATGTATTGTGAATGTAATCTCCGTGTAATGTTACCCGAATGTAATCCCCGTGTAATGTAATCCCCGTGTAATGTAATCCCCGTGTAATGTAATCCCTGTGAAATGTAATCCCCGTGTAATGTAATCCCTGTGTAATGTAATCCCCGTGTAATGTAATCCCCGTGTAATGTAATCCCCGTGTAATGTAATCCCCGTGTAATGTAACGTCCTTGCCTCTGTGGGAGCTGACGCCATTGACGCGGCTTCTCCCTTCCTTGGCTCGGCGCGGGAAAATTCGAATGGGGGAGTGGGGGTGGGGGTGGGGGGAGTTTAGGGAGTTGGGGGAGTGGAGGTGGGGGGGGGAGTGGGGGTGGGGGGGTGAAGGTGAGGAGGGGTGGGGGAGTTTAGGGAGTGGGGGTCGAGAGGAGTGGGGAGTGGGATTGGGGGTTGCGGGGGGTGAGGGAGACGTATGACGTCATCGCGCTTTGCTCCCAACAGACTCCGAGGGGGGAGATGCGATACGGGTGACGTCACCACGCAATGACGCAATCAGATTTTTTTTTTAATCAGAATCTTTATGGTGCAGGAGGTATCCGATAAGCTATGAAGCTCTTTGTGTCACAGATATTCAGTAAGGGGCACAATCTGGATGTCCGCCTGATGATGCTGGTTGTGATTACTGGCGAAACGTCTTACTCAGATTTATAAATGTTGTGGATTTGCTCTCCAACACACAACCGGTGTAGTGCTACATTATACACTACACTATACACTACACTATACGCTGCACTATACACTACACTATACACTACACTATACACTGCACTATACACTACACTACTATACACTACACTATACACTACTATACACTACACTACTATACACTACACTACTATACACTACACTATACACTACACTACTATACACTACACTACTATACACTACACTATACACTACACTATACACTACACTATACACTACAATATGCACTACACTATACACTAGTGCTGTACTAAATCACGAGTTGGCACGTTCTGTTCACGTGACAAACCCTCTTACTAATTGGCTGTGTCGGGTGGTGTCGGTTTTAACGACACAACATTTATATTGACGCGACGCAACGCCAGAAAAAAAACCCTCTAATTATGGATCCTCAATCTGAATAAAAACCCCCAATGACAAAAACAAAATCTCAATCGATTAATTAATTTCATGGTGACCTCCTTTGCCAGGACCAAAATATGAGAAGAGGTTTTCCCCTTTTTTCTGGCAACAAAACAGCTGCGTTAAGATGTTAAAACACCAAACTTAAACCTTTTACAAGGATTCATACTCTTTGGTTTAAAGCTTCCGTGGCTGCAGGGATTCATATTCTTGGTTCTTTCGGTAAAGTCACCACCACCACGTAGAAGGGAAACAATAAAATAATAAATAATAAAACAAAAAATTCTCACGACGTTTTGACTGCAACACAAGAAGCAATCATCATCAGGTGAGAATGTTATTGTTTTATATTTTTATTATTTTATTGTTTCCCTTCTACGTGGTGACTTTACCGAAAGAACCAAGAATAATGATTCATACTCTTTGGTTTTTTCGGTAAAGTAACGAAGGTAAAAAATAAAATAAAACAACTAAATTAAATCACGACGTTTCGGAGGCAACACAAGCTTCCTTCATCAGGTGTAAAAAAGGGGCACAGCAAAATAACTGTAGAGTCATTTTGCTGTGCCCCTTGTGATGTAATATAACTTTAGGTAGAGGTAATCTTACCTCAGGCGAGGTAACTTTACCTAAGATAGAGGTAACTTTACCTCAGGTGAGGTAACTTTACCTCAGGTGAGGTAACTTTACCTCAGGTAGAGGTAACTTTACCTCAGGCGAGGTAACTTTACCTCAGGTGAAGTAACATCTCAAGAGAGATAACTTTACCTCATGCGAGGTAACATTACCTTTGGTGAAGTAAAATTACTTCAGGTGAGGTAACTTTTCTTGAGGTGAAGTAACTTTACCTCAGGTAGAGGTAACATTACCCCACGTTAGTTAAATTTACCTCAGGTGAGATCACTTTACCTCAAGTGAGGTAACATTACGTTAGGTAGAGGTAACTTTACCTCACCTGAGGTAACTTTACCTCAGGTGAGGTAACTTTACCTCAGGTGAGGTAACATTACCTCAGGTAGAGGAAACTTTATCTCAGTTGAGATAACTTTACCTTAGGCGAGGTAAATTTACCTCAGATGAGATAACTTTACTTCAGGTAGAGGTAACATTACCTCAGGTGAAGTAGCTTTACCTCAAGTGATGTAATATAACGTTAAGTAGAGGTTACCTTACCTCAGGCGAGGTAACTTTACCTCAGATGAGGTAACTTTACCTTAGGCGAGGTAAATTTACCTCAGGTAAAGTAACATTATCTCAAATGAGGTAACTTTACCTCATGCGAGTTAACATTACCTTAG